AGTTTAACTGGCCTGTTCTCCTGACCCAGTTCATCAGCTCAGCAGCCCAAGACTATTCTGTTAGCTGAGGTACCTTAAATACAGAACAGTTCATGTATACAGCTCCTTTATGTATGTGGGTTATTAGACCGTAGCTACGCTGTAAGTCCCTGTGTCAGTGTGCACATCCTTAGAAACCTGAAACAAAACACCCTTTTAAAAGCAAAAGGTGATGCATTTGGGATTCCCCTTGTCATGCCGTGGGATTAATTTTGTGTATTCTGTAAGTGGCAGACATTGATTTCTAAGAAAGTTAACAGTGTCTGTTCATTCTCGTTCTGTATCAGAAAAGCTAATGACCCCAGAAATGTTCTCTGAGATCCTTTGCGATGACCTGGATTTGAATCCTCTGACCTTTGTCCCTGCTATTGCCTCTGCCATCCGACAACAGATCGAGTCGTACCCAACTGACAGTATCCTGGAAGATCAGTCAGACCAACGAGTTATTATTAAGGTAAAACAGGAAGGTAGTAGAACAAGAGTGGAACCATTTGGGTTTCTCTGGTTATGTTACGCGGGAGGAAGAGTACAAAGGCTTCCCTCAGAGCGAAGGAGCTCTTAATTCCAGTCCTGCCTCCAGATTGTATTTTGTCCTTTGTATTGAGAACACAACCAAGGTGGCGGATTACTACACATTCATGTGCCAGCCCCTGAGATAATGAAATAGTTCAGTAAAAGCACTGTTGAGTCCTTTTGGAAGAACTGAACCTTGGTGAGCAAAGCAGAGTTGTCTTCACACTACTGGAATTAAGAATTCAGTTAAGGAGCTCTGCAGATGCAATGAACTAGGAGTTACCTCTCTGCTTCTCTTCTCCAGCCTCTGCCTCCTCAGTTAAATTACCTTTGACAAACTATTGTGAGAATGGAAACAAATGACCTGTTTCTTCCCTTGTCTCCAGCTAAACATCCACGTAGGGAACATCTCCCTTGTAGACCAGTTTGAATGGGACATGTCAGAGAAGGAGAATTCACCGGAGAAGTTTGCCTTGAAGCTGTGCTCAGAGCTTGGTCTCGGTGGGGAGTTTGTCACTACCATTGCGTACAGCATCCGGGGACAGCTGAGTTGGCATCAGAAGACGTATGCCTTCAGGTACAGAACTGCCATCTTCCTCGTGTGGGTATGGGCGTGCGTTCGTACTTTGGGGGCATTAGCGTCAGTGAATCCTGGAACAGCTGACCTGGTGCAGAAAGTTTCATTTGAAATTGGTCCTGAGGGCTTGCACCCATTCTGTCCTCCTAACATTTTTTGTGCCTGTGCTGAAGGATCTTTTCCTGTTGGGTGGAATACATTTCAGGACCAAATATTGATGAAATGTCAGCTTTTACTGCAGAATGAAAGGCTGTTGTAATTAACAGTGACTGAATACCTTGTGTCCCCCTCTTCTAATGTGTGCTAATGATGAGCCCTGGCTACACTTCTGTTTTGTCAGCTTTGTGTGACTTGGGCCATCCACTGTCTCAAGCTTTTGTTTCAAACTAAGACTGATTGAAACCGTAGCTCTCTACTCTGGCTGATGTTAAAGTTGGCTTGATCATAGGCCCTTCTCACAGCTGGAATGCAGCAGTGTCAGGTTTGATTAGTCAGCTTTGTAACTTGTCTCCTAATGATAATGGTTTCCAGTTGTGCCGTGCGGTGTTCTGTGGCAAGTTACTGTACTGATGTTATCCTCGGCACAGTGCTGAGTCTGCAGGCTGGAAGTATCCCTTAATGTGTGCTGGGAGGTTTTTTGACCTCAGGTCATGGAGACAGTTGAGGAAGTTTGAGAGTTCAGCAAATGATGTATTTGCCGAAGTGAGGGAATGGTGCTGTTGACACCAGTTTTGCAGAGGTCAGCTCAAGGAAGCAGGATGACCTACCTGGGCAGCACAGGGAAATGTGCCCAGCCCCGTCCTGCCTCAGGCAGAGGACAGTGAGTAGTTGGTGTGAGGGTTAAGTGAGGAGGAGCTGGAGGCTATGGGGCAGCTGGCTGCTGCTGTGAGCTCTACTCCGTGAGCTCTACTCCTTCCTCCTCCATCCGAATGTTTCTTGACTGCACAACCTTCTGTGGAAAATGGCTACTGAACTGCTCTGGACCAGTTGCTCTTCCACTAGGCTCACTCTGCTTCCTCTGGAGGTTATTTTTATCCTGAAAATCTTCCACAGCAACTACTTGGTTCTAAAATGATCCCCAGAGTGGTTCATATCAGAAAATGGAAAGGGACTGTTTACAGCATGGGAATTAAACTCTTACTGAAACTGCTAGATTGTGTGTCCACCCTGCTGATGTCCCGGTTCCTCACGGAGGTGAGGAGGTGACTTCTACCTTTCCATCCATGACAGCTGACTGATACTTGCAGATCTGGTGTGTGACCACGTTGAATTGTAACAGCAGAACAGTGGGTGTGCGTTTCTGAGACATGATGGGAACTTGAAGGGCAGTAGATGGGAATGTGATGCCTGTAACACTGTCTTTCCTTCCCTGCTGCTGGATACGTTATAACGACAACAGAAGTGAGCTAGCACTGCCTGCGCTGTAGCCTCCAGTAACAGAGAACGAAAGCGTCCCCACTGGTAGATGCAGACCTTGGGGCCAATGTGAAGCAAACTTTATCTGTAGCTTAAGCTAGCTATGGCAAGGAGCAAGTTCATTTCTGGAAGGCTTAGTAGGACGACTTGTTGCCTGAGCATTCCCAGGAATTTGAGCTTTCTTCTTCAGTAGAGAGGTGTCCCTGTTCACACCACACTGGCCAGGAAGCCGTCTTTTCTACTGGCAATTTATTTACCTTCCTAGTTAATTTACTTAGACAACTTTTCGGCATACTGCCTCCCAGCCCACAGGGCATTTGTTCTTAACTCTTGTCACTTGGTACATCAGAGGCAGGCGTTGTCCGCATTAATGGACACTAAATGTTTTCCCTCCCTGTGCTTCTCTCTGTATTACAGATATCCGAGTTAAGAAACTAATCCATGTACAATTTAACTGTTGTGAGGGGGGTTCATTTCTCCCTTTGCTTCCTATCAGTCTCTGTAACTTGCTGCAAGTAAAGTTTTAGTCCATGCTGCCCAGGCTCTCTCAGATAGATCATGTTAATGCCAACTTCACGCTAGTCTTTCTAAAAACATAGCTGGCTGTGGTTACTAAAGAGTGCTTCCTTTTGGGGATGGTTCAGAGAGGGAGATTTCAGGCCTTCTAGACTGTGGCAATATTGCAGGGGGGGAGAATAAAAAAACTAGGAAAGGAATCCCAACACAACAAAGTACCTAGACATGAGCTGTTCAGGGAGGAAAAAAACATCTAATTTAAACCTTGTTTTGTGTCATAGTACAAACATGTCCTCCTCTTCCCTTTTTTCTTCCAGCAAATGAGTACTTTTGAAACCTTACAGTGATTAATGATATTTGGGTTCTGTGGTTGGTTAGTTCCTGAATTCCCAAACCACAGGAGTGGTGGTTGCTCCAAAGTCATTCCACTGATGTAAGGAAAGGGTCTGCTTTAGATGTATCAAAAGAAACTTAATATCTCGAGGGACCGGGGGATTGAGCAGTCATGTGCCTCTTGATCATCTGAGGGAGAGGTGAAACTGTCTCCTAGTTGACGAAAGCCAGGACAGTTCTTTCAGCTGGCCTGCTCTGTACAAAACAAGGAGGGCCGGAAAGCCCCATGGAAGGGGCAGGACTAGAAGCAGACAGGTAACTGATGCTTGTGGGATTTTCAGGGGGACAGCGTGTACCTCGGTACCGAGTGTTCCTAGTGTCGGCATGCAGGGCTTCATAGCCAGAGTTTTGCTTTCAAGACCTGAATGATGGCACGGGTTCTCTCCCACACCAAACCACGTGCCAGAAGAGTTACCCTTTCCGCAAGAAGACGTTTCCCTGCCCTGTTGGCATGACCATCATGCTACTGCCTGAGGCCTGGACCCTAGCAGAGGGGAGGGCCTTGCTCTACTGGGAATCCTGCAGCTGACACGCATTTCAGTCATTCTGCCAGCGGCACCATCCTCTTGATCAAAAAATAACAGGGGAGGGGGAGCTGTCTTACTTTGGAGGTTGGGAGATGAGGATTTTTTCAGTCTATCTCTGATTCTATGCTATAGAAGTGTGGTATCTGCGCTGGCTTGCAATTAAGTAATGCACAAAGGGTGGCTTTCCAACCCCCATTTAATTCTAGCGGGTGCTCAGTGTGAAGCATGGTAAATGAGATAAGAGACCACGCTATCAAGTCAAAAAAGCCAGCTAAGATGTAGCATTTAGTCTGGAATGTGTAGCAGTCTGGGGCTAAGATGAAATTCTTTGTTCTGTGTGTTGCTTAGTGGACGTCAGCAATGCTGGAAGTAGATTTGATTAAAGCTTCCTCCCAGAATCAGATACCAAAGGCCCTGGATTAATTTTTCATTGTAGCATTACTTTGAAGACTTGTTATTCTAGATTAATAGAGCTTTGATGCAGATGTCGTCTGTTCCCATGGCAATTAGCATTTGAATTCCTTCCTGGGGGAGGGAGGGGGTTGCCCACAAGCGCTGAAATCCTGTGCAGGGAGGCATGTCCCTGGGGAGGGGGCCGGCTGCATGTCCACACCTGCCAGAGGGCTCCTCTCACACACTTGGTAAAGCTCGGGCTGAGCTGCTTTCTAGAATTCAAAGCAAACATTTACATTCTGAGGCTCCTCTGTATTTATGCTGGGCTTCCAGCTCCACTGTCAATATTTGGGAAGCTGCTCCTGGTCAGTTCCTGTTGACATTTACTGAAAAGTGGCTAGTGAAGCAGTAAATATTTTTGTGCATGTGATAATACAGCTGGTCAGGGCAGGGAGATCTCAGAGGAGCAGATCTTGTGATCTCGGACAGAGCCTGGCATTTCAGTACTTGTGGAGGGAGTAGCCACAGCCTCTGGTTGCAACAGCAGGTTCTAAAAGATGACCTTTTCCATGGCAGTTGGGAGAGCAGGGTTGTTCCACTCCCAGAAAGCCAGCCTTTTGCCAGGGAAGAGCTGCCGGAGGTGCGCTAGGCAAACTACAGCTAGGAAGTCAAGAGCTGCAGAAGGGCAAAGCTGGACGAAGAGTCCTGTTAGCAGGCCCTGCTCAGCTGCTGCTTGGGGAGAAGTGCTCCCAGCACTAATAAACTGGTATGAACTTTGCATGTGCTTATTTGGGTTTGAACGCTGTCAGCCAGTTCATAACAGCCTTTGCGGGAGGGAACTGCATCAGCCGCGGGTGCTTTGAGAACCCCTTCCCTGGTGGTGAAAGGAGATGGTCGTAGCTGGTCTCCCAGAACCTTCAGGCTCCACGAGACTCAAGGGCTCCATCAGCCCCTGGGGTACTTCTGGGAACCAGACTGTACTAAGCAGGGCTGAGGCCGAATGCTTACACCTGAAACGCTGTAAATGATGCTCCTTTGTCCTTCTGCCTTGCACCTGAGCTGGTAAGCCAGAGGAGCGCTCTGGGACCACTGATAAATGTTGCTTTGTTGCCTTCTGCCGTGCCTTGCAGCGAGAACCCTCTGCCGACGGTGGAAATTGCCATTCGCAACACGGGGGATGCTGACCAGTGGTGCCCTCTTCTGGAAACCCTCACAGATGCCGAGATGGAGAAGAAGATCAGAGACCAGGACAGAAATACAAGGTGCTGCCACTCATTCAGACAGTTCTCATTCTGGCCTGTCTTGAAGGCAGACATTAAAAGCTTTGATGTTTGTCTTTTTCTGCTGAGAGCCAACTGGCTGGATTTCAAACTTGCATACCACAACAGAAACTCATATCCCTTTAGCTTCAGGATATTAAACTATTATCACCTTGCTCCACAAACATTTAGATCTGTACTTTAACCACCTCCTGTTCGAAGCACACTTTTTTTTTTCCCCCCCTTTTTTTCTTTTCCCTGGGCTCTGCTTGTGCAGGGGGATTTGTTTCTATAAGGCGGCATTCATCAAAAGTATTGGGAGTTCCGTGCAGGGTCACACTACCTAGAACCTGTCATGAGGCTTGCTTTTATGAAGGGTAAAGTGCTGTTTGATGTAGGAACGGGCAAGCTCCCAGCTCGAGCCTGACTGATGCCGGCCTGTTAGCCAGCACGGGAGCACTGCTTCACTTCCAGGAGGAGCTCTGTCCGTCAGAGACCCAGCTGAGCAGCATTTGATGAGCAAGTAGGGAGCACTTGCTCCTTCTTGGTGAAAATGCTCCTGGCAGGTATAAATGAACTGCTAGAACCTCCAAAAGATACATTGTGGAAACAGTAAATCTGCTGGCTCAGCTCTTTCCCAGGATTTTTTTTTTTTCACTGCTGATGAACAGATTTGTAATTATTCTGCTTTTCAGCTCTGGCTGGCTGAATAGTTTTCAGTCGTGATCAGTTCAATCCAAGCGGATGAGCAAAAGTGCCTGAAAAGCTGTTACTGAAAATAGTGTCTTAGCCTTAGCGACAGGGGCACTCTCCGGTGATCCAAGGATGCGATAAACCTCTCTACAGCGTTCACAAAGCTGTGGCAGCCTCCCCAAAAGTGTTGGTTTTACTAAGACTCCACATGACTGTAACACAGCACTTACTGTACCTCTTTCTCTCTCTCCTAGGCGCATGAGGCGTTTGGCCAATACTGCTCCAGCCTGGTAACCTTCCTGTTGTGACACTGGTGCTCTTCCTACAGACTTTATCCCTACTCCTCTCCCCTGATGGATCTAGGATTGGCAGGGGTCTTTCTGTCCCTGAAGCGGACACACATTCCACTTGCCAAGAGTTCCCAGTACTGCTGACTTCTGCCCCATCCCCTCCACCTAAATGCCACGTACCAAGAACGCTGCATTAGCACGTGCTCTAGCTGAGACCCGTGGCAGCTGTTGGAGCCCTTCTATACCTGTGTGTGGACAGTGTAAAGATTCTTTTGTATAGGTGCAACACGCACTGTTAGGACAACTTTTTAAATAAAAGGAATGCATATGACTTAGGTTGAGTTCAGTAAGTTTGAATGAATAATGAGTCTCACAATTGTTTTGTGCTGTTTTGGTAACTGAGCAGTCCCAGGGCCTAAAATCAATGCTTTTGAGTATAATGCTGAACCCTCACATGCATGCAGTTTTCCTGAAGCATGGTGGGAACTGCAGGCTTTACTTAAACAAATAAAACAGCCCAAAACCTTTTGTTCCAGGGGAAAGTGAGAATGAGACTTAAAAATAGAAGCAACAAACAACTGTCTAAAGGACAGGGCTGTTACCATACTTGGTGCGGTCTGTAATGAACCCAGTGAGGTGTTCAGCTGGCTCGCTTGACAAGGGCAGAACAGTTGAACTGAAGTCACAAACTTCACATTAATTTTGGTTAGATGTCAGCCTGGTGTGTGAAGACTGCATCTGGAAAACAACAGCCTCTGAACTGGTACAAAAGCTGAAGCATGCAGTGGCTGGGACTGCAGCTTCCCTCCAGCAAGTGGCTTTGCTGTGGTCATTGTCAGCCCACCGGTTACAGAGCACCCAAAGCAAAGCACTGCAGTGTCAGGATTCTACAGCTCTAGAAGGAACCTGTCTTGCCCTGGGGAGTTTAAAAACAGAAAGCCCATTGAAGTGAGATTAAAAAAAAATTAAGCTAGCTTAAAAAACTAATCAGAATCAACCTTGTCATTGAAGTACACCAGCTCTTTGCTAAAGTTCCTGCCATTCACTGCCAGAAAAGGACAAGTGTTGCAGGCAGGGTGGATTTAGCTGGCAGCTGAACAGTTATGTTCGGGCCTTTATTGTTAAGTCACTAAGTTTTACGATCCTTGCTGATCCACCCACACTGCTAGCACAGGCAAAAAAACCACTTTCCGGCCTTCATTTATCATGTTTAGACTTGAGTAATAGCAGAGCCAGTTCTGATTCCTGGGTGGGAGGGAACTTTTTCCAGATGTTAGTCCGCAGAAACCAAAAACTTGCAATTCTAGCAATAATATTATTGCAGCCTTATCCTAGGCCCCTGTGCCAGAGCTGTACTCTATCCATTATTCCTTATTAGAGAGGCTGGAAGTTTATTTCAGCAAGACAAGACCAGGGACTCCTGCTGCATCGTGGCCTCCCACATAGAATGCATATTTTTGCCTCGCAGATCCAAGAACTCCAACTCTTCCCGAGAGCACTTCAGCCTCTCTTCATCATGATCAGGTACTTCCGCCAGCAGCCTCTTCTGGGAATTTGACCAAAAGAAGCATGATACTACTGTAGCCTTAAACCAGCATCTGCAGGGCACATTTTTAATTGCTTTGAAGCTTGTGGTTACCTAATCCTAAAGTTCACAACAAGGTATGGACACCCAAGGCCTGCAGCTTCTGTAGCAGTTTACAAGTACCTCCCTCTGCTTCCCAAGCTCCAGAGGCTGTAGGAATTGTCCTTCCAAGCAGCCAGGGGCAAGGCAGGACAGCCCAGGGGGCCAAGCCCCAGAACAATAAGTTGAGCCAGCTTTCTCCATGTGTTAGGACCACGAGGAAGCAGCTTGCTTGCTCTATCACCACAACTCCTTAGGTTAACCTAGTACCGGAGCTGAAAGCGTAGCCCAGCTTTTGCATTTCAGAGTCCCATCTCCAAAGCATTTAAAAGAGAACGCCTGCAGACTTTAAAGACAAACTCTTCCCAGGCATTGAAGTGCTAGTTCGGTGTTACTGGGTCACAAGCAGAGCATGTGGCAAGTACCTGCTGAGTCTGAGGCCACTTAGCCCTCAGTACCACTGCATCTTCTAGAAGAAGGTCACCACCTGTACAGTTCTTTCATCCTCTTCCTGGAGCGAAACAAAAGTGCAGCTAAATAGCTTGTTCAAATGAAGTCTGATTTTTCATTAGAAAGGTTTTTCCATGGGAAGCCCAGAGAGGAGGGGGGAGCTGTGGTTCAATCTTCCTTTGCCACAAGGCTTCTATATCATTCCTCTTAATTGGATGCTGGTTACTCACATTTCTCCTTAGTTTTAGCAGTGGTTTGCAAGCTTGTTTAGCTGAGCAGACAGCAACATTACCAGATGAGCTAGCTCTCCTGAGATCAATGATTGACAATTTACTCCAAAGGCTTTGAGGTCTATGTTACTGCATTAGCAAGAATAATCAAATCCATTTAGTACAGCTGTTCATGGTAGGGATTAGCTTGTTTAGTTTTCCCCTAAAATTCAGATGTTTAAGTTTCAGGACTAAAAACATTCAACAAGAGTGGAATTACACTGCATACACAGGCAGCCTTTATTACTAGTGTCAAGTGCTACTTCCAGTCACTGCCTGGCTCAAGTGTCCAGCTCTGTCCCCTGTCCTTTCCCAGGTATCCCTTTCTCCAACTAGACACCCCCACATCCCCTGCGTTCTGTCAGCAGGACTGGGGAGCATGAGAAGAGAGGAAGAACATCTTCCAGCAAGCCTGAACTTTGCTTTGCCCACCGAAAAAAGAAAAGCTCAAGCAAGCAACCTGGCAGTTTTGAGCAAAGTCTTGATGAGTAATGATGAATTGCTGCCTCTGCCCTGTCAGAAATGGAGACACAACTGAAAAATAAAAGACTTTAATGTAAAGACTCTTTGGAAACAACAACCAAAAGAGGAGTGGGGGACTTAGAGGAAAGGAAGAGACCGAGCTGCATTCTACCATGGTAGAGTTGGGAGTACTATGTCACTGAAAGCCCACAAAGATGCCTCACAACAGTGAGAGCCAGGAGCACTGGTCTTTGTACAGGGGGCAAGAGTGACCTGGCACACAGCAAGCCGTCAACAGCAAGAGGAGTAACTGGTTTAACACCCCGTTTGATGCTTATTCCCCACTGGGTAACTGAGGAGCCATCGCAGCTTCCAGTCCGTGTCCCTAGAACACCCCCACAGGCATTCACCAGTTCTTATGTACAAAGCCCTGTGGAACCACTTGGTACAAGGGGAAGATGGGTTACCCATACAAACAGTGAAACATTACACATCAGAATGGCAACTGGTGTTATTCCAGTAGGATCGCTGGGCCACAGCACAAGTCCAGCCGGAACAGAGGAATCTGGCCACATGGAGAAGTCCCCTGTGTTACTGTGGATGCTGCTGCTGGTTCTGGTCTTGGTCTCCAGGTTGGTTTTCTAGACGATCCTCAGGGAGAGGGTTATAGTTGGGATCCTCTTCAGGCGTGTCAAATACCATCTTCCTGGCAAGGGACATGCCCATCCCACCAAGCAGGCAGGTTAGGAAAGTGAGTGAGGACAAAGCCCCCAGCCCTCCTAGGAACACCCTACCCCTTCACAGGGCTCGGCTGCACGCCACAGCTGCCCGCCTGTTGCAGCAGCACTAACTGTTCTTTTGCTCAGCTCTAGGTCAGCTTTGATCCTCAGCATGAAGAACAGCTTATTCTGCTTTCTTAAACTACAGAAATACATCAGAAAAAAATCCTACCTGCATCTAGCATTTCCACAAGCAGCAAGAACACTCCAGTTCAACTAGCAAAGCTTAAGGTACCAGCAACTGCTTTATGGACCCTGCATACATATGTATATGATGTGCAAAGTGCCAGTGCTTTCTGCAGCAGAGGCATAAACTGAGGTATCAAACAAATTGAGCTGAGGTGCTACCAGCATGCAGTTGTGTCCTATGGTCACCCCACGCTGTCACATACCACTGTTTGCTATGAAAGTGACCCAGGTTGGAAAGCAGCAAAGCCCAGAAAGGATCAGCTTTACTTACAGGAAGCCAGGGGTTAACAGCAACTTCTTTCCTCCAGGCTGGTTAGGGAAAACATCTTCCAAGAAGTAATAGATGTGACCCACTGCAATCCCTGGGGAGAGAGGTCACCAAGGTCAGGCCCAGCTATGACTCCTTTGCCAGCTGAACCAGAGCTGCTGGGAGGTTAAGCAGGTTAAAGCTCCAAGAACCCCTCAGCTGTGTACCCATGCCCCAGCTCCCACCAGAACCACCTCTGCTGCAGCGCTGGGGGGCCAGGCTGTTTGCTGCTATCAGTGCACAAGCAGGCAGGGAGCCCATCAGCCTGAAGGCAGCACCAGGCACCCAGGAGATGAGACACAGTGCAAGTGTCACCCAACTTCTGCCCCTGGGGAAGACACAGCAAAATGCAGGTCACAAGCAAGAGCTCAGGCACAAGACTGGCCACCCAGCAACCTCAGCCAGCTCACTTTAGGAAACCCACCATCTTAAGTAAGATGAAACCAAGGGACAGTGCAAGTGCTCCAGTAGCATCTATGAGATTAGAGCACACTGTGGCTGCAAAGGGCCCTTGTTCCCAGCACCTGCCAACTTAGACATACCCAGTAAGTCGATGATGATGGAGTTGCCCAGGAGCAGAGAGAATCCCATCAGGACCCAGGGCAAGAAGGGGGCCTGGAAGTTAAGCAGCCCAAAGAAGTTCATGCGGATATAAGGGTTCCTGCGACTCCACACGTACACCAGCATGATGGTGAAAGCCTGGCCCAGAAAAAATAGGCTGGCAAAGAGTCCAAATAGCTAGGAACTACCGAGTCAAGGAAAAACCTACCCACCTCATGCACCCCCTCCAGGCAGCACAGGCTGCCTTGTGGCTAGGAAATCCAGAACTGCAGGCAGCTGATCACAGCATGCAAGGCATTGCCCATGTCACCAAACCCCTCCTGGGCTGGCTGAGATGTACTGACCCCCACCCCTCCAACCACATTTCCCTCCCTTCCACCCCACAACAAGACACTATGGAGTGGCATGTACAGGTTGCTCATTCCTTAAGCTGCTATCTACAACCAGCAGAGACCAAGGAGCTCATAGTCACCTCTACAAAGTGACCATTAAAAGTGACCTTCAGAGAAGGGCCTTCACATTCTTACAGCTCCTGGGACACATGGCACATCTTAACAAGTATCTCACATCCAGTATCTGCCTTCTACAGAAGAACTTCAGCAGTGATAGGGCTCTTGCCATTCACAGCCCTCTTCTTCAGGGCACAAAGAGACAGCCAGAGGCAAAAAAAAAAATCCCCTGCCCTTGTTGTAGTTGACCTCCAAATT